GAGATTCTGCCCTTTAGCACTGTGGGGCCGAAAGTGACCCTTAAAAATGAATTCAGCTCCTGCGCTGGAGAGAATCTGCTAGTCATTTTTGGAGGGAGGTGTTTGGGAGAGGCTGGGGGGGTGTTAAGAAGGAAAAGCCCCCCCCCAAGGAAGGATCCCGGAGGAGCACTGAGGCAGAGCCGGGAGGGGAGAGCCCACCGTCTGGGGAGGGGAGATGCAGCCACATAGCCAGTGCAGGATTTCGGAAAACCCACCAGCCAGGCCATGGCTCTCATGTCCCCCCTCCCCACACACACACACAATCCCAGAGGGGGTCCTGGCTGGAAAATCTGGGTCTGGAAGCCTCTCTCTGCAAAATGGGGAGGTGATGTCCCGAATCCCAGGAGGCAAAGGGCCTCGGATCCGGGCTTCCCGTTCAGTCTGCCATGGAAGGCAGTCAAGGGGGGAGGGACGGGGAGGGGAGGTCAGGACCATCCCTGCCCTTGGCTGTGGGAGGTTGGACCATGGGGGGGAGGGCTGTCCTGGAGGGGGGCAGCTCTTCCCTCCAGTCCAAGGTCGGCTCCTTATCTGGAGCCTCCAGGCAATGTGTGGGGCCCGGCTTGGCTCCACGGAAGGTAATAGCCCCCCCCCCAGGACAGGACTGGATGGCCTCCAGGGCCCCTAGGACAGGGCTTTTCAACCTTTTCACCCATTGTACCACTTTTAGGATATGGCAACATCCGAGTGCCACTAGTCGCCTAACAAGGTGTCAAAAACTTGATGACCCCCCCAAAAAAGGAAAAAAGTGATGAAATACAGGTAGTCCTCAACTTACAACAGTTCGCTTAGTGACTGTTCGAAGTTACAATGGCCCTGAAAAAAGTGCCCCCCAAGCCACAGCCGAGCAAGAGGCCTGCCTGCCCACCCGGGGACGCTCTTCCTCTTGTCCGAGGTTTTCATTGTTGTGAGTGTAGCGGGGATAGCCCGAGAGTGCTTGCAGGAGCTTGACTGGGAAGGGGAAGATTGGGACAGCTGCAGTGGCTTGGGTGTGGCTGCGTGAGTGGAAGGGGGAAGGATAGAAAAGGGAAGAAAAGGAGAAGGTCGGGGTGCTTGGAGTTGAGAAGAGAAGGTCTGGAAGCTTATTTTATTTCTCTATCGGGTATTTTAAATAGAGGCTAGATAGAGTGAAGTTTTATTGCTTCCTCCGTGGGAGGATATCTGAGACGGAGGCAAGCGAGAGTGTGAAGTAAGGGAATTGGCTGCGGTTTCTAGCCTCGGATTTTAATAATAAAGAGTAAGGGAGGGGGGTGGTTTTGAATCCTGAAACCTGAAGAAGAATCCTAGAGAAGAAGCACCAGGAGGAGAGAGACTGGTGGTGCCAACTGTTGCTGCCAACTGTTGCTGTGGACTTTGGAGGCATCTGGACTGTGGCCATCGCTGCTGGCATAGGTGCTGGGCCATTNTTGTTACCATCTGGAGCTGGGGTTTACCCCCCCCCCCCCATTTCATCGGATTCTGAACGATTGCTCAGGGGCCTGTTACTCCTGCTGCTAAAGCAGCCCTGAGCTGTTATATACATCTTCAGAGCATCAACCACTGAGACTGGTTAAGTTCGTGCCTGAAAGTCCTGCTTCAACAAGAAGAGCCTGCCACCCATTAATGCTGCGTGAGCTCCGGTTGTAAGACACCTCATCGATCTCTAAAGAACATTGCTGCAAGGCTGGACAAGGGGGGACGTGGCTGGGAGGGCCTGGGCATTGGCAGCCTCTGAGGAGGTAGCGCTACATGAGCATTTCTGTTGAGGATTGGCAGCGGGGGTGGGGTGGGGAGGGGTGTTTGGTTTTTATTCCCCCATCTACTGAGTGATTGCAGCAGGTTTTGGTCCCTTCACATGACCCTGGGACACTGTGACCATCATAAATATGAATCAGTTGCCAAGCATCTGAATGTAAATCACAAGACCTTGGAGAGGCTGCAACATTCCAGCTGATCGGTGTTTCTTCTGGGCTCAGCAGAAGCTCCAGGATCAGCGCTGAGCTCCAGCTGGAGCCTGGCACTGATCCTGGTGCTTCCTCTAACCCCTAACAGCCCCGCAGCTCCAACCATCTCTCGCTCAGGCTTGTGCAGTGCTGCTACCGGTTCAGCTCATTCCCCTCCCCCGCTACCACTTTTCTAGAATGGCCACGTACCACCTGCCAGGTGCCAATGTACCACAGGGGGTGCCCGTACCATTGGTTGAAAAGCCCTGGCCTAGGAGACTTTGGGTCTCCAGGGCGGCATTTGGACACTCCCGGTGGCTTGAGGTTTGGGCCGGGATTCTTCCGCTCTCCTCACTGACGCCCTGAGCCGAGAGTATCGCCCCTAAACCAGCCCAGCTCGGGAAGAGCCTCCAAGGGATGGCCCCAAGCGGGAGGCCTGGTAGCAGCGCAGCCCCGGGCTCTTCTGCAGGCTTCCCTGCGGCTGCCCTGGCTGGGAAGCGCCTGGGGGGGGAGCCAAAGGAAGCGAGTCTGTCCGGGGCAGTCGCTCTGTCTGGGGGGGGCAGCTGAGCACACACACACACCCCATGGCCCCTACAGATGCCCCGAGAGGGGTCTGTTCCTGGGTGGTCAGTGCAGCAACTGGGGAGCCTGGAGCCCCCTGGAGAGTTGCGCATGTGAGCCCCCCCGGACACCCTCTCCCTGCAAGCGCTGGGCACCATGGCTAGAATTCTATCCCTCTTTATTTGTGAGTCGTCTTGTAAGGAAGAACACCCCCCCCCCGATTCCCACAGGAGGGAATATTTGCAGCTGAGCGTTGAATTGCAGGGTCCCCGGTGCACTGATGATGTTGCCTAGTTGGGTAATAAAACGTCTGCAAAAAAACCCCCAAACCCATCCAGCTCAGGGAGCCCCAAGGACCCCCCCCATGAGAGGCTGTAGACCCCCCCTCCTGATTTGTGATCCTTGAGCCAAAAGTCAGAAGAAATCTCACATCTTTGCAGCTGAAGAATATGACTTTTAATAATATTTATGTAAAGGTGAACTGGTGTATTTTCCCCCCTCAGAGCTAGTTTGGTCTATCAGTGAAGGCGCCAGACTAGAAACTGGGAGACGGAGAGTTATAGTCCCGCCTTAGGCAAAATAAAGCTGGCTGGGTGACTTTGAGACAGTCTCTCTCTCTCCCTCCCTCCCTCCCTCCCTCTCAGCCCAACCCACCTCACAAGGTCGTTGTGGGAAAAAAAGAGGAGAAAGGAGCGCTGGGGATGTTCAGCGCTTTGAGTTATTTATAATAAGAAAGGCAGGATAAAAATTAGTGAATTGATTTGTGTCGGTTCCAATTCGGCCGTTCAAGTCCAATGTTTTATCCCAAAATTGTGTAATCTTTGTGGTTTCCGCTTACGACACATTTTGGCCTTCCCTGGAACAGAACAGCCACAGAATGCTAGGGCTGGAAAAGGGACCTCAGAGGTCTTCTAGTCCAACCCCCTGCTCAAGGCAGAAGACCTTATATGCCATCCAGCCAATGGCTGTCCAGTTTCTCCTTGAAAAGGCTTTTCCGTTGATTAATTGTTCTCCGTGTCAGGAAATTTCTTCTTTCTTCCAAGTTGGAGCTCTCTTCAACAAGCTTCCACCCGTTAGTTCTTGTCAGTTGTGTCCTGATTAGACTACTGCAGTTCACTTTATGGGGGGGGGGGATGTTGCCCTTGAAGTGTACCCTGAAATTTTGGCTGCTCCAGAGCGCAGCACCCATCCTGCTTGTGCTCCCTGGCCAGGCTTGGTGTGGCCCCATCACACCACTGAGGTTGTGGCTGCTGGCGCCTCTGATTGCAATTTGCGGGTCCTTTTAAAGCCCTCTGTGGCCAAGATGCCTTCAGGGATCGCCTTTCCCAAACTGTCCATCTGTCCACCCGAGGGCCACAGAACAGCAACTAAGGGGTCCCCCCTCTCCTTAGGGGCGGCTGAAGGTCTCTCTGTGAGGATCCCCCCACCCCCAGGACAACCCCTCCCCCCGTGGGCCCCACTTCAAGGGCTTTGAAGAGTAATCTTAAAAACATATTCAATGTCTACAAATAAAAGATAAACATGTTGCTTTAATAGGAAACTTGGAGTAACAGTGGAGTAACATTGGAGTAAAATTTAGAATAACATAAACGTAGAACAGGGTTCATCGAACCTGGCCCTTTGATGACTTGTGGACTTCAACTCCCAGAATTCCTCAGCCAGGCACGTGGGAGTTGAAGTCCACAAGTCATCAAAGGGCCAAGTTCGAAGACACCTGGTGTAGAATAACATGCAGATATTAAGATATGATTTTTATTAATAAAAAGGTCCTTTAAACATCTAACTCTCATCTACACTGCAAGCCACAATAAGGCAGGGATTCTCAACTGTGGCACTTGGAAGACGCGTGGACTTCAACACCTAAATTCTGGAACACTGGGAGCCCACCCATCTTCCATAGTTGAGAAACACCATGTTAACGCACAACAAGGTTGCTACACCTAGCATGAGGAGGCATCAAGGGTGCTGCCCAAGCGAGGGGCACTTCAAAAGGGGGCTCAGAGGGGCCAGGAGGCATCGCTGCGTCTTCCCTGCCTGATGGGATAAGTGGGGGGGGAGGGGCTCCCAGCCATTGGTGACTCAGAACCACTTGGCAGCCCCCAAATAGTCTGCCCGATCGTGGCAAAATTGTATAGAGTTGGACATGGGACCACCAAGAAACCCTAGCAGACTAGAACGGGAAGGTTGGAAGGACCTTGGCCCAGAGGACAAAGGACATCATCTGGTCCTCTTGCCAGATGCAGCCTCGGAAGGCACCAGGAGGTGGGCCTGAGCTAAGTGACCCCCCTCTACAGCCCCTCTTCCTCCGGTTCAAGGTACCACAATTGGACAAGGGGGATTGTGCGGGATATGAGGAAGAGCACTTTTAACATGTTTCCCCCTTAACAAGCAGGAATCGGGGAGGTGGTGCGTTAATGTGGACCACTGCAGCGGAGGGTTGCCCACCAGCCACCTCCACTTGTAATGTGTTGCAGTTGGAGATCAATATTTGTCACACTGAAGGGTGACCCCCTGCTGGCCCAGGTAGAAAAAAGGGTAGGCCCTCTCCCCAAGGAAGGGCCCCGTCCGGAAGATATAGAGGGAAACCCCAGTCTGCGCATCCAGGAACTCCACCTCTTCTGCCTTGTAGTCCAGCCGCACCTGCAGCCTCCTCAGTGGCCTTTGCAAGCTGAGCTTCTCGTGAACCTTGGAGAAAGCGACCGTCTTGCCCTCCACACTCTTCCCCACGGCCCAGATTCCCTCCTGGGGGCTCAGCTGGAAACTCCCCTTCCTGCGTACAGACTCTATGGCCACCCCGACGGCCCAGCATGCTCTGCCACCCACCAGGGCATTGTCTAGACCCTGCACAGACACTTCCCAATAGTACCACCATGCACTGAATACCCCGCAGCCCAGGGCGCACAATTCCTGGTTGAACCTCCCTGGCAGATCCGGGAGATCCTGGTTTTGGTCGACCAAAGTCAGAGTGGTTCTCTGGCACTGCAGCCGCGGGTGGGCGGTCGAGCCGTCCGGCATGACGTAGACTGAAGAAGAGAGAGAAGAGAAGTTCTTAGGCGGGCTGGGAACAGGGGAGGGCAAGGCAGGGCAGGGCTGGCTCCCCAAGGAGGGTTCCCCAGCTCAGGGAAGGACAGAGCAAATGGCTGCTGTCCCTGCTTAGCGGCCGGAGGGCAGCCTGATGCCAAAGGGTGAGGAAACTGGGCTGTTCTCTTTCGTCTCTGGAGCCCCGAGACGTGGTGCAGGGCGAGCTTCCAAAAAGGGAAGCTTGGGACCAATTCCCACGTACGGCAGGTCTCTGCAGCCTGAGGTCAGGGAAGGGTCTCTGCCTCTGGAGGGGCAGGGGAGGGCAGGGGAGGTGGGCAGTGGGTGGGTCACTGGGAGAACAGAGGGCAGGATAAGAGAAGCCAGGGGGTCCCGACCCAGGGAAGGTCCTGTGTTTACTTTTATTGCCCAGAGCACCTGGAGACAGCAGTCCTTGACTTACAACAGGGACGGTTCAAAGTTACGACACTGAAAAAGTGACATGACCGTTTTTCACACTTACAACCACTGAAGTATCCCCCATGGTCACGTGATCGAAGTGGGGATGCTGGGGAAACTGGCATGGTACTTATGATGGTCGCAGAGTCCGGAGGTCACGTGATCCCCTTTGGCAAAGTCAATGGGGAAGCCAGGTTCACTTATCAACTGTGTTACTAACAACTGCAACGACTCAGTGCCAAGAAAGGTCGTAAAATGGGGCAAAATTAACAAGTGCCTCACTCAGCGATGGAAATGTTGGGCTCAGTTGTGGCTGTATGTTGAGGACTCCCTCCGTTCCTGCTTCTCCCGAGTTACCACTATTGCTGGTTGTGGGTTTAGCGCTCTTCCAGGCCCACATTTGGGTGGCTGCTGTGGGGCCCGCAGACCTCCCACTTCTGCTGGACCCCTCCCTGTATGGATAGCCACCCCCACTCCCACCCCCAGGGCTTTTCCAGAGTGTCATGTTACCTTTAGCCGCTGCTGGACCTTGTATATATTGTGGAACAGGTCCTGGGGAAGAAAGGGGGACAAGTGTTAAAATCAGGCTGCTCTTTCTGAAGAAGCCCCCTCCCCCACTTCCTACAGGACACAACTAAAAACTGAGCCACCCTCCCCCCCCTCCCGTTGGGACCTTCCATGCCCTGGAAGACATGCCCAGCTGCCCTGCCCAGCGCCCTCAAGCGTGGCACTTTTCTGGAAGGGCCTAGGCGTGGCGGGGAATGGCCGGCTCCGTGTGGGGGCTGACAGATCCCTGCCCCCCCTTCCCCAGATGCTGTCTTTGGGACCCCCCAGACTCTTGGCATCCCTTGGGCCCTCCAACTGGCAGAGAAAGCCACTCCTCATGTCATGTGTCTGAGTAACGAAACACTTAAAAGGACTTTCAGGCATGTTTTCTCCTAAAAGCATTTATTAATGTTACAGATATGTCAGCACAGCATGGGGGAATGCTTAGAACTGCTTCTCTTCCGTTACGCATAGCATTCCAAACATTTCCCTCCCACCCTTTTTTGGGGTCAGGGTTCACATCTTCCAATCAACTTGGAAGATGTGATTTACATCCGGTTTCTTTTCCCCTTCTGCCTGGTTTAACTATAAAAATGCCAGACAGCTCTGCATATTGTCAAAGCAAGAATATACAGTATTTGCAGAGTTGACACCTGTTGAGATTTTATAGTTCAGACTTCTATAGCAAAACTAGGCCAGTGGCCAGCTTGCGTACTAGAGGCCTAGGACAGTAAGTGAGGCAACCACATCCTCTGAGAAAATAACGGTTAACAGGAAGCTAGCATAGCAATGGGGCAAGAAGAAGCTTGCAATCTGCTTCTGCACTAACCACATCCTATAGAAAGCTACAACCAATCATATGTTAAAGACGCTAC